AGGAAGGAAAAGACGAGAGGTCAGCACTGAATACATATGTCAACTTACATTATGCTGTAAAGTTAAAGGAAATGAGGAAGTGATTACAGGAAGTAGAAAGGACCAAATCCCACTACCTTTCATAATGTGTTTAAAGTATAATTAATAGAAAGTGGGGAGAAATGTTGGAGAAGGACAAATACTGGGGGAGGAGAAAGAGGCCATGAAAAGGAATGGAAATGAAAGAGAAAACAACTGAATCAAGCAGAGAACGAAAACCAGGCCAAATGAGAGAGAAAGAGCCGAATGAGAGGAATAGATTAAGAAAAGCAAAAAGATAGAAGGAGGGATGAAATGAAATCCAGAATGGAGGAAGGGAAATAAAGAGACTGACAGAAAGACAGATCAAGGAAAACAGAAGACGAGATCGGGCCAAATCGAGGGCGACAGCCAACAAGACAGTAAGGAGTCCGATGAATCAGGATCCAAAAATTGAGGAAAGGGTAAGCGTAGAGAGGACATGACATGGGAAAAAGAAAACAAGGGAAGTAGAGATGTCAGCCATAGGAAGAGTTAATTGCGTTGTTGTTCCTCCTCGTCCGTCTCTCCTCACTTGCTCTCACTCTCTGTGCCCAATCTTGTCTGGTGTCAGACCACCAGACTTGGTAGCACGGATAGACAGAGAGTAAAAAAAAGAGAGGAAGAAACATAGCAGCAAGAAAATAAGAGAGGAAGAGAGGGAAAGAAAGATGAGGAAAGGGGGACATGATTCTACCACTCCTTTATCCCCTCTGCTATCACTCTTTCTTTTCCGCTCTTTCCAACTCTCTCCCGGGTACTAATAATTACTTTGTTTCTGTGTCACCAGCTTGAACAAAGCTCTTCCTTGTCTCTTTCACTCTCTCTCTGCATCTGTATGTGTGTGTGTGTGTGTGTTTGCTATTGCAGGGCTTAACCATAATTAGAAGGAGACAGACACACACACACACACACAATCTTCGTATGAACAACGCTGCGATCTTTGAATCCAGGAATAATGATCAAAACAATAACCCTGTACCTCTTGGAACAAACCAGTCCAATCAATCAATTTATTTTATTTCAGAGCGGCTGTTCAACTTATAAGGCAGGCACTTTATATTCATGAGCATGTGTCGTCTCGAGAACACAGGGTTTAGGTGAATATCATTTCATGTGTCCAGGATGCGTCCGCAAAGCAAAGTGCTGCATATTTGCATGTACATGTGACAATAGGCATATAAATATTGTTAAAAATGCATAATGCAGTGAGTAGTAGGGAATCAGCCTATAAAACATGCATGTGTTTGTGAATGTGTCCGGGTCTTCCATGTATATTTCAGTGGATATGCTTCCCTATTTCTGTGGCTGCTAACACGGCTAAAAAAACCAACTAGAGAGGTAATTCACAATCTCACATGGGATGGAGCAATGGTTTCGGAGACGGGTGGTGATATAGGGAGAGGGGGGGAAAGGGACAGAGAGAAATATAAGATGGAGAAGAGAATAGGAGGAGTGACCTTGGATGTTTAACAGTGGTACACAGTTATAGCTGTGGCTAATAGAGACATAGTACAATGACTGTGAAAAGGAGAAAGGCTGGGAGGTCAGATATGGAGCCCGGTGAGAATCAACTGTGGATTAGCGATGAGCAGAGGAGACTGGCTGCAGAAACAGAGGAGGTAAAAGAAACAAAGAGGGAGAGGGACACAAAGGAGGAGATGAACATAACTGAAAAATAAATCAGATGATACAAGCTGCCAAGAAACAGGTTGAACGAGGTACATAAAAGATGCACGACGGCAGATTTAGGCAACGGAGGAAGAAAGGAATGCGTGATTACAAAATGAAGACATAGGCAAGAGGATATTCAGAGATAAGTGGGAGTGACTCATCAGCAAAAAGATGGAAATCTGTTCAAAAAAGATGGATGGAAAAAGAATAAGGAGGATAGACTTGGGGAAGGATAGAAAAAGAGCAGGGAAGAAAGACAGAGGAAAGAATGGAGGACAGGGTAAATAAAGGTGGAATGCAGGGCAGGATTAGAATATACACAAGTGTGTGAGATTCATGGTTGCACAGTGGTAGACAGTTTAATGCCGTGTCGTCCTAGTTTATCTCAGCAACAAAGAAAGAAGGATTCAGTTGCTTTATATCAATGCACACAAATCAATACAAATTCATAAATCAACCATATTAGAAAGTAAAAAGGGAATCAGCAAAAAAAAAAGGCAATATTTTCTTTTCAAGCCGCAAATCCATCAAGCGTGTATTTGCAATATTAATCACGATGAGACACGGAGTGACATGGGAAAAGACAGGACATGCATTAACATGACAGTGAATCAAAGTAATAGAAACCCCAGCTAAATATAACCTATGAGCATAACTCCCCACGGTGATGGTCAACGCTCAATGCTCTTCGAGATCTATTAATTAAATGCAGACACATAAAGGCTCCGAATGAACCACCACTGTAATATTTCTTTAGTCCTTTTATAAGCCAATAATATGACCAACACTTTTTATTCAGGCAGCAGTAGAGTTACGAGTGCAGCTTTTTGCATGTTTCGTTTAATCAATCTAATTTGAGCATCCATGCTTTTACGGCTGGACTTGCTGAACAATTCCCGATCCTCCTGCGTGCCTGATTGCCCCTGACAAGCTCTCATTTTAGGTTTTCAATCCTGAGATATCTGGCTAAATTGATTCTGGTTCTCAAGATGCCTCACTCTTTGCTGTAGGAATATAAAAAGGAACTTGGTGAAAAAACATCCATTTTCCTACTTTCTTTCCCAATTTTAGTGACTGCTCTGAAGTTTTCAGCAGCGTTGTCAGAGTCCATCATTTCACACTGACAGTTGCAAAGTTCTTCAAGTTAAGGCATCAGTCGGAGGAGACACTTAAAGTAATTAATGCGTGCAAAGAGAGTAATGGGTAGCAGCATTTCCTGGCTCATTATGGCGAATGGGATTTAGCGTGTAGGCTCTTCTTGTTAAATTGGCTCATATTTTGTATCATTATGTTTTTATGCTTGTTTGGAATTCACTCTGATCCAACAAGACAATTTTCATGTAAGTGTTTACTTTTTGAAAGAGAGAGAGATGACCATAATTCTGGGAAATGATCCCAGGGAGGATGAATACGGAAGACGACATTAAAACACAGAGTATCTGATGTGTGGATATTTCACCAGCCAAATAATGAGCCTTTGCCATGGTAACACACACCTGGCCCCCACAGTTGCACCAGCACAGAGATAAGTTAATTGGCGAATTTGCGACAATGTTAGAAAGCAATCTTTGGTGACCTAATGACCTCAGGATAAGGCTGATTTTAATGAGACGGCCCCATGTGTCCGCTCGGATTGTACTGGGACTTTGGGTGTCAGAGAGAACATTGTATGGAGGCATTTCTGTGCCAATCCTTACTATTTAAATCACTCCAGGTCATTTGCTAAGGCAGTGTTTCCACTCACTGCATTTCTTTTAATCTGAAAAATGATACCTGCGCAATTACTGGTTTTCTGGACATTTCTTCACAAAATTGAAATTTTTGTTAAATCAGTGAAATTCACTGATCAATATACCTTCTTTGCAGTGCTATAACTCAAATCAATAGGTCATCCCTTTGGCTTGCTTCAACTGTTGTTTTGTTTGCGTTATTATTATTGCTCGCATTATTCAACACGGATAACTTCTTATTTCTTTAACAATGGTATGTTTGTGAGAGTGGAAAATTGGACAGATTTCATTTGTTAAACTTGCTTCTGTTACAGCAGCTACTTTAACGCAATACACCACTGTCTCTTTAGTTTGAATGTATTATAAGCAGATCAAGGTGAGGGACCTTCTGCAGTGGGTCTGCTAGTGTCTGAGTCACACTAGATGGCATTTATATAAGTCTGAGAGGAGCTGCAATGGTTAGCAACAGACAGTGCAAATAAGCTCTTTGATGTGGCGTTAAAAAGGAGAGAAAAATAGGCATTGGAGAGAGAAAAAACAAGAAAATACAGGAGAGGAGAAAAAAAAAAAATCACTGACAAAATATTCATAGCTGCAACACACAGGTACACAAACACACAATTGCCCACACAAGAGGGTTGGACAAAAGAGGGCAAAGTCATTCCCATCAGCGACAGACACTTGAGCTGCGCTGCAGTCTCCCACACACACACACTTTACCCTAGCAGGTCACATACACCAACCCACTAATGTGAAATACACAGATTTGTATTCTAGCGTGTGGTAAATACAAACAGACAACCATGAACACACTGACAAGCACACGCAACTCATGTAGAACCTGTTCCCCTCCATTCTTATCACCACTTCTCTTCATTGTTGTTTTTCCTCACCTCCCTCTACCTCTCCATGGTTCACCTGTCTTCTGTTTGTTACTTCTAACAGCTGCTCAAACACTCGAAATGAGGACACATTCAAATCACTTTGCTATTTATTACCCCCACGCAAGCGCTAGCTCATTAGACACACGCAGGAACACATTTGGAGTTGAAGGACGACAAAACTCGCCCTCACTCGAGATGACATTCATTTCGCTTCTCTAATCAGAAACCTTCCTGGTCTTAACAGTAACCGTCGAACCTAAAATGGCCTCTTTTTTCAATGCAAGGTCCCACAAAATGGCTTGACTTCTCGAAGGGATGGAGTAAAAGCAACCACACATACACACACCCTTGCACTCCAAATGAGCAGACAGAGTTCTCTTTTCATGTTCCCTGGGCGCCCTCTCCATCAATAGCCTCATTTTCCCTCTCTCCCCCTGCTGCAGTATCCACTCCTGCGCCGTTTCTTGCCATCCTTTCACCCCCCCCTTTCCTTCGCTTCATTTTCAGCATTCAAGCCTCTTAGTTCCACAATAGGCAAAATATCGAGGCTATGACTTGAAGTTATTGCAGATAATTTACATTTCACTACACAGCCGGTGCACAGCAGGCTTGTTTATTTCACTGACCTCTTTTCATTTCTTTTCTCCCTCTCTAGAATTCTGCCTTCAACTAGCGATCGGTTCCTGTTGAAGAACTTGGTCTCCGGTGTGGACTATAACCTGTGCGTGCTGGCCATTTTTGATGACACAATCACGTCATTAGCAGCAACAAAAGTACTGGGCTGCACCACATTCTCCACCAAGGATGTTTACCCAGCATGCCGCTCTCTCCAAGCCCACTTTTTGGGTGGAACACTTACCATCTTGGTTGGCGGTGTCGTTGTGGTCACCTTACTGGTGTTCACTGTAGCGCTCATGGTTCGCCATCGCGTTTGCAATCATGGTGACCACATGATATGTCACAACGGAAACACGGAAGCAGGGGGTGGGGCCTGCTGTCAAGTTGCAAGCATAGGGGGTGGGGACAAAGGGGGGAACAGTGGCGGTTGCTACCAATCAAATGGTTCAGGGGACGTGATGATGGTGGTCCTACCCAATGGTCTACCTTCCAAAAGAGGAGGGGAAAGGGACAAGGAAAAGGAGAAGGACAAGGAAACAGCTGATTCCTCTATGCCTCCAAAACTCCCCCCAAAGCCTAGGCCCAAGCCTAAAGTCAGCCTGGAGCAGTTTCTTTCAGCTGGGGGTGTAGTTTCTACAACAGCAGGGGCAGGAGGGGAAATGGCATTGGTGGTGAGGCAGAGGAAGCTGGAGAAGGCACCGCCCTACACACCCGAAAGTGACAGAACTCCCCTCTACTACTCCCCTTCCCCTCCATCCACCCTTCCCCGACAGTCACGCTCCAGGGACCACCCAAAACCCCGTCTGGAGCGAGAACTGACGAATCGTGCCAGTTTCTCTCTGGCTGCACCCCTGAGAGACTCAGAGCTTTTGGACTGGAGAATAATGCCCCGGGGCAGGGACCAGTGGAACTCCTCACAGGCTTATCAGAGCCCTGTATCCCCTCAAAGTCCTGCATGCGGGACTGTTAGCAAAAGGCGACACTCACTGGACATGGGTTCATCTGTTGCCCTAGCGACAGATGCGGCGGCCACTGTTGCCAAGCGCTATGGTGCTGTCAGTTACGCCAAGCGGCTGAGCGTGATCTGGACAAGGCGGAGCCAGTCGCTTCACGGAATGCTGGTGCAGTGTGCATCAACAACGAGCACAGCATCTTCAACGACCAGCGATGAGGGAGAAGCTGGCGGGGGCTTTGGAGCACGCTGCCAGTTCCAACGAGGATACATCCATGCGTACAACACCACCAACTCCAACTCTAACACTGGGATCACGACTGGGAAGGCCGTGAGCGTAAAAGACAGAGGGCAGGAGAGAGGAAAGGACGGAAAGAATGCTGAAGAACTGGAGGAAAGTGTTGTGTAGTGGGAAGTGGAGCAGAATAAAAAAGTTAAGAGGGATAAAGGGTTCTGTGAGAGGACAGTTTGAATGGGATTATGGTTTGAGCAGAGTAAGGAGGGACAGCGGGGACATGATTGTAGTTGAGGAGGAGAAGGTTGATTGACAGGGGATAAGTCAGGAATAGAGAAGAGGAAGTGAGGTTGAGATTTTTAAGAGGTACTTTACAGAACCTGTGGCAGAAAGTGTAATACGGGGCATTTTTAAAAATGGCAAGGCTGAGCTCAATCTGTATCAGTAGAAAATGACTGATTCGAGGTAGAAAATGAACATAGTAACATCCAAACAAAGCTCTAGGCAGAGACAGTGACAGTTGTGAGACAAGACAACGTGAGAAGAGAGAGAGAGAGATGTAATCAAAGGGAAAACATCAATAGAGCAACAAGATGAAGGTTATATAGCAGAGACAGAGATGGCGTGAGCTCAGCGTGGCTTCTCAGTAAATTCTTTAAACTAACAGAACCAGACTCCAGTTAACACTTCAGTTCTCCTGGGACCCAGCACTCACAACACCACAAGGGTTTACGCTGGATCAGAAACTTCTACGCACTCTGAGGTTTTGGCAAATTAATTTCCTCTGACAAAAATGCAGCAGTAAAAAAAATAAATTTGATTCCATAGCCGTACTAAGTTAGCTTGGTTTTTGGCTCCAACAATGATGGTCAGTTACAAACTCTTTTTCAAAACACAATGAATGTGACTTTTATGTGTCCTCTGTGGCTGGACAATGATTTTGGCTCACCATGCCTGTGGATTATGTGAGCATAAATACAGGGCCGGATGCATTGGACATGATCAATCGATATGGGCTGGGGAGAGCAAGAGGAGCAAAGACATTATTAAAAAGAAAGTCATCGGGATTACAATGGAGTCGATATGGATTACAAAATGGAAGAGGCAGGCGTGTATGATGGAACATGTACGCATGTGCATTCCTGAAAGGCAAGATCATATTGGATCTAGGATAACTATGGACCAAACAAATGAATAATGCTAATGAATGCATAGGTGTGCATGCACTGATGGATCAGGGACAGGATGTGTGTATGACTGCCTGTGTGTATTTGTGTGCGCACATGTTTATGAATGTTTGTGAGGGGAAATCTAGTCAATCCATCTTTAAAAAGGTTTAACGCTCTCTGGACATGCTGTAAAAGAATAAGTCTGAAAATTTAAGATTTGAGGTGAACAACACGTTCACGACATTTTCACCAGAATAAATCACTATTCACAGCAACGAGGGCGTGGTCAGAAAGCAGCAACCGTTAATGGGAAAGTAAAATTTCAGAATGATTTTTTGTGACTTCAGGTTTTTTTGTGCCACATGGGTTCACAGTAAATCCAAACAGTGAATGTTTTCAGAAAGGAACCAGTTTAAAAAAACATGAAGCCACTGTCGATATAAACTCTTCATTGGGAGAACTACACTGGAACGTATGATCCATAAGGACAGATAACAGAGACTCTTAAAATCATCTATAAATGGTAAGAAAAAAAAAGAGAAAACTTGAAAAGTACATATATATAGTATACATATATATATATATATATATATAAAATGATGTTACTTGTCGCACCATGTGTTTCTGTTTTCTGGGGAATGATGTTAGGATCAAATACAAAACATGTGTGATTTTTTGTTTTCAATCAAAGAATCTTCAAGATTAGAACACAAAATGTTGATTATTACTAGGCATAAAAATAAAGATCAAAACAGATACTGAACACACTCACACTCACACACACACACACACACACACACACACACACACACACACACACAGAAGCCTATAAAATAGAGCCAATTACATTAAGAATAATGACTTTTACCATTACTGTTGTTTCCTTTCTGTTTTTCTTTAATTTTGCCAAAGTCAATATTGTTCTCTGGACTTGATAAAAATAATAAAAATTACACGTATGAAACAGACAGACTCATTAACACATGGGAGTAAGTTGTGTGTTGTGTTTGTGTGCATGTAACCGTACAGGTGTACTTTAACTGCATTTTGCACAAAGCACATAATGATAGTGTACTTAATTTCTCAATTAATTTGTAAATTGGTAAAAAGCTTTCATTGGATTCAAAGGATTCATTGGAATTTAAATCAGTTCTAGTTTCTCATATAAAAAACCTGACTAAAAAATAAATCAGTGTTTTGGTTTAGTTTAAACTTGCAGAGAAATGTGAGGATGGTGAAATGTTCTGAGCTTCAAGGCAAACCTGTGATTTGAAGATATTTCAGTGCATCTAAGTCTCTACAGCAAAAAAGGAGTTGTTTACTTGTCAGTCAGTGGAGTTGATTAAAGGTAAGTAAACCTTCTTGAGGTAATTAAAAAAAAAAGACGGAGAAAAGATGCAATGAGAAAAACTGTGAATAAAAGAGAGGCATACCGATGGAAGATACAAGAACACAAAAGGCTTCCAAGAACAGCTCTGATTCTACACACAGAAGAGGAAAGAAAGCTTGAGTGACAACAACAACAAGTAAAAGCCATCAGACTAATAAATCCTATTCTGATGTTTTGTTATCATAAACCATATCTACTGGTTTCAAACAGTCTATGTACAACATTATGAGACCCTTCCACTGCTACAGTTCAGATTAACACTAATTAAGCAGCAAAGAAGCTAATTAGAAAAAATATGAATTGGCAAAACCAAACAGGAATTCATTCAAATCCATTTTCTTGATGTCACAAAACAAATTTAACGGACCTCCTCCACAGCCACAGAATCTATCTGTAAGCATAATAAAGTTGTAGTAATTCAATTTAATGCAGAAACCAAGACAATAAACTGAAAGGGGATAAATGCTGCACAGAGCTGCAGAGCAAGTGCTATTTCTCAGTTGGATCAGGAACAGCAGTGACCCTTTCACAATGCATGGAGTACTTTGATTAAATACCTAAAGTGGTGTGGATAAATGATGTCTAACATCTGGGAAGAGAAAGAGACTTATTTTTCCTTCCCTGAATCTTGCATTGTTGTTTCACTGACTATCTTCTCTTGCATGCTTTTGATTTTCTTCAGCATTTGAAAATGCTGCTAAAAGAGAGAGAGAGAGAGAGAGAGATGCAAGAATGCTGACACAATGAGATATGGACAAATAGATGATGATGAGCAAGGGAAAAAGAGAGAGAAGTAATGAAAGGGGGGAGGTCATTGTGTTTAGCTTTCAGCTTTCAGTGTGTGTGTGTGTGTGTGTGTGTGTGTGTGTGTGTGTGTGTGTCTCTGCATATATCCATTGCTCATTGTGCTAATTTTGTTGAGTTTGTGCTGGTGTTATTTCTGTCATGTAAGTACTTTGCCACAATCTATTACCAGACAGATAAAAGATCCTATAACCACAGAGGGATCATGAACTCAGCAACTGTGTGTGTCTGTGTGTGTTAATATGTCCCTTTGCCTTTTGAGCTTTAGACACCAGACATCGCCTGAGTGATGGGCAGTGACCTGACAGAAGAGGTAGAAAAAAAAAGAGTGTGTGTGTGTTGTGTGTGTGTTGTGTGTGTCAGGCATCAGGTTAGAGGACAATTTGATTTCAAACTCATAAGTGGCCTCACTAAAAGCTACGGTCACCTTTGAGGAAGACGGAGTGTGAACTTGTGTGACAGACGAGAACAGCGCAGCACAAACTACCACCCCTCCCTTCTTTCTTTGCTGGAGGCGAAACCCTGGCACGATTTGACTAATTAAAACACCCTGAGTAATGCACACACACACACACACACATTCACACACACAAGCTAACCTTTCAACACCACGTTCACAAATGTGCATATATATAAGTACTCAGATAACCTTGAGGCCGTGGCATTTGTTTTTCCTGTACATGCTGGGTGCGTATGAATGCGTCTTCAAAGGCTATAGCTGCCTTTAGCCAAACTTCCTCTGACATTTGCAGTTTTGATCAAGGTACGATGCCTTGGCCTGCAGTGTGTTGAGTAACTGCTGACTCAGGATGCAACAGGAGTAAAACCACCTGCGCTCGAAACCAGCTGGACCAGTTCTGCAACACGCCGATACAGACAAACTGTACAGAGACCTCTGTATCACACTCAACTGATTGTTACATCAAATTACTACAAACAAAAGATATTTCCACGGGATTTATGCAGATCTATCACCAGTGCAGAGAATGAAATTATTATTATTGGTTGAACTGTTTTCCTTTATAACAGAGGAATAGAATAAAACAGTGTCAGGTTCCTTAAAACATGACTAAACCTTCTTTTCATGACTTGAATTGATAAGTGTGGACGTCTCGCTTTATATTGCAGGGACATAAGACTGGATATTAATAAACTGTTAAGGAATATTAGTGAGAATTTGTAACAAGAGACTCATGCTTAAAACTCTGATGCTCCACATGTACAAATGGATGACTAATATTCCTAGCATGAGGATGTTAATGGTCAAATAAACCTCAGATGCACTTGAAGGGTTAACATTTACATTCCTTTAAAAGATAATATTTTATCTTTACAATGCACAGGCACGGGTATTGTTACTGTAAATTGCATTTTTAAAGCTAACCCAGATGTAGAAACTGTTTTAACGCATCAATCAGTTGTTGAGAGGAAAATGATATTGACCATCTGTTGGATAACAGAGTGGGAGTCTGTAGTCCAACAGAAGGTCAATACCATTTTGCCTTTTATCATATGTGCATGTCATCTGGTTACATAGAAGCTACAGCTCTGCTATTTCATCATGTCACTTTGAAATTCAGACACAGTAAAACATTTTTTTTTACAGTATCTGGATGTTCGACTTTTATATTTTTGCCTGGATGATAAAATGAAATTGTACCATTTTCACTGAGCCTTTCTATGGAGGGTTTTAGGTCCTTGCATGAGGTAATACACTGATAATTAATTTTTGACAGGTCATATCAAGATGCTCATTTCAACGTTTGAAGCTTTTAACCACTCAGATATAAATCCATCTCTGTTTGTATCAAGTGTTTCATGTTTTTTCTTTGCGTTAAGCTGTTTTTAAACTAGTATGGATGTAGCCTTAATCTTGAATTGAGTTTGTCAGTATTTCAGTCAACTCGGTTTAGCAGGGAGACACTGACAGGGAGAAACAAAGAGCATGGGGAGATGGATTAGGAGAGGAGAGGTAGAAAAAGATTGATTGGAGGTAGAAGAGCAAAGAGAAGGAGAGGAGCAGCAAATGGAGAGATCAATGATGGAAGTAATGACAAGTGGAGTAGTGCAGCAGCAGGGGAGAGGAAAATAAGTGATGGTTTGACTTATTTTAATGCATAATACTGCTTTTCTCTCTTGATAGAGGTCTGGTGACGAACGAAAACAGGGGACAAACCTCCAATTGTTTTAAATTGATACCCTCAGTATTAAAAATGTGCCTTCTTCTTATAAACACCAGAGCTACTGATACCCCAGCGATGAGCCAGACAGCGGCAGTCTCACTTTGAGTGCATTTAATTATACAGAGGTAGCAGAGTTAATTTCATAATGACATGCTACACGGAGCACCTTTAAAAGGAACAGATGCGAGAGGAGATAAGAGGACAATGGGATGAGAGAAGAAAAAAGGACAAAGGAGGAGCAATAATGCTCAAACTATACAGGGCTGTTAAAGTGATAGAAGAGAGTGAGCCTCCTGTAAGGCTTTACCTTCATGCATCACTTCCTTTCTCTTTCTTTTTTTTTTTTTTTTTTATCTGCTACCTTCCTCTCACTGTCTCTGTGCACTCTTTAATGTAGCCTATCTAATTTGCTCTCTCCTTCACCTCCCTTGACTTCTCATTCAATCCTTTGTTTGCTGTATTCACTCCTAATCATCTCCTCTCTCCGACCTCGCAGCTCTCAAATGTTCACTTTTTGTTTTGCCATTTCACTCGTTTTTTTCCCCGAGTAAAAGAAAATACTGTGTGTGTGTGTGTGTGTGTGTGTGAGTGTGTGTGTGTGTGTGTGTGTGTCAACCTCTACTGAAGAATATCAACAGTCTTCTCTTTAACATGCTTCTTAGTGTCACTCCCATATCAGTTCCTTCCCACCTACACTCACATGTTTTGACAGTAAAATTACACTCTCTACTTTTATTATTCCACCTTTAAGTTCCTTTTCCCTCTGGATTTTATCATTTTGGTTTACTGTCTCCTTTTCTTCACACCTTCCTAAATTAATTTACTCCATCTTAGCAACTGTGATATAAACTCTGTAAACACCGACTTCTCAGAAAACCAAAATCCCATTTTGATGAAGAATAATTTTTACTCCATGCAGAAAAAACTAGTTCTCTGCCATTCAGTGGCTCTCTCCTTCACCTCTGCCATCACTCTTGTGCTGCCACTCACATGAATATCGCGCTCATCCCTCTTGAGCTTGCTTCACGTTCAGCTATGTAACAAAACCTTTTAATTGAGAAACCTTTATAACCTCTCCCTCCCTGCTGTTGCCTCAATAAAAAAAAAAC